TTTTTTTACAAAACAATATTCTAATGACTCTAATGCACTCGGACGCATGGAACTGGGTACACTGTTTTGTTTAACTAATCTAACTCACATCTGCTATGATCATGCCTTTAATTATTGTGTTTTTCATGTCATGAGATTGAGAACACATCTACTAAAAGTGAATTCAGGAGAAGACACAATGACCAAACATTCATCTTACCGCAAGGACAAGACCAGAATCCATGTGTGTGTGTTTTGTATTGCAAAGCTGGCATTATTTTAACAAGGGATGAATAGGTTGTTAGAGAAAAAAGGATGAATAGGTTGTTAGGAAGGGAAAAGGATTACGCACACGCCACGGTACCATGGGAGCTTATTCAACTAACACTCTATTGATAAGCATATCATCCTCATGTCTGCTGCATGCTAATACAGTCGTTGTGGACAGAATCTTGAATCTTCCACTGATAATCATAATCTGCGCCTTCCGGACAGTACATTATACATACATGTTCTTTCTTTTTGCGAATATTTTTCTACTTAATAATTAATTAAAAGCATACCAACTAGCTAAACCCGAGTTACTCTGACTCATTGAGTAAACGAAAACGAGGGGTGGCGATCAGGTACAAGTCTGCAAAAGTCTCAGTCATGTCAACTTCTTCTGGTTTGATCCCATTGGCCAGTTTCCAATCAAAGTGGCAGAGCAACTGAGAAAGTGCAAGTTCAATCATGGTTACCTCAAATGCTATGCCCGGACATATTCTTCTTCCAGCCCCAAATGGAATGAACTCAAAGTCAAACCCTTTAAAGTCAACGGAAGAACCATGAAACCTCTCTGGCTTAAAACACTCAGCATCAACCCCCCAACTCTCCACATCTCTTCCTAAAGCCCATTCGTTGACAATCACTTTTGATTTAAGTGGCAATTCATATCCACTGATTTGGCACCTTTCCCTTGCTTCTCTTGGGAGCAATGGGGTTGGAGGGTGCAGCCTCAGAGTTTCTTTCACCACTGATTTCAAATAATCCATTTTTTGAACATCTGCTTCTTCAATTCTATTTTTCTTTCCTTCAAGGGCTACTTGTCTTACTTCAGCTTGGGCCTTCTTCATCACTCTAGGGTTTCTCATCAACTTTGACATTGTCCATTCTATGGTAGTTGCTGATGTCTCTCACTCCCTGCAGAGAAGATGTCCTGCATTGCCAAAAAAATTAAAAAGAGAGAAAAGGTTGATATCTCAAGTTTAAAAAATAGTTGGTTCACTTACCATAATGACATCTTTGATCTGATCGGTTGTGAAGTTGAATTCCAGCTTATTGGACTCTAGAAGTTTTAGAAGTACATCAACAAAATCTTCCTCCTCCTCCTCTTCTGCCTTGTCAATGCCAGTTGTAGTAAGACTGGCGATCAAGTCTTTCGATATTTTGATCATATGATCGCTGATGATACTTTCAAGAATTTTACCGAGCTT